TGAGGCTTCGCCTCACATACTTTGGACGTATTGCTATGAGGTGCTATTCCTCATGATGCTAGGAAGGGTGAAGGGTCGGTGAAGGAGAGGAAGACCCTCAACCAAGTGGACTGACACAGTGACTACTGCCGTGGGTCCTGGTGTGTCAGGAAGTGTGAGCATGGCACAGCCATAGGATGGGGTTTGGATCCATTGTTCATAGGATCACAGTGAGTCTTACCCGACGGCACCCAACAATAGAAATAACAACAGATGATCTCCTCTAACTTCTAGAGTCTCTGCTTCAAAAACTGAGGTTATTCTGAAGAGCTGGCTTCAGGTCTCACTGACTGACCTTGGGAAAGTCATTTAACTTCTCTGTTGATCAATTTTACCATTGCTAAAACAAGAAACTTGTTTTCATTCTCCCCAAGGAAGGTTAGAGCGGCAAGTGAGATCATGGAAGGAATAGAATAAGGTCATTTTGCTTATTTATTTACACTCACTCCACAGGTGGTTTGAAACATCATAATTATTTAACAGATTTAATTATCAGGAAGACTATATTTATATTTTGCTTTTCCTCGGGGGAAATTCTATTTTAATCACTAATGAATGTGGTTAGCTTTGCTAGTTGGTGGCACCTGTCACTGGTAGTCCTGATGGAGATGTCTCTATAACTGTTTCTTCATTTAAAGAGGGTTGTAAGGGATGACCCAGTGTTGTTGTCGTTGTGTGCCATTGAGTCAACTATGACTCACAGCAACTGGGTGAACAACAGATGGAAGATTTGTCGCCATGCTCTCTGATATGCTCAAGTCTATTGTTCCATTCACTGTTTAATCTAGCTCATTAAGAGTCTTCCTCTCTTTGACTGACCCTCCATCCTCATCAACATGTCTTTTTTCAAGCACTGGTCCTTCCTAACAACATGCCTCAGGTCGGTGAGATGAAGTTTCAACATACATGACTCTAAGGCGTACCCTGGCTGCATTTCCTCCAGGTCAGATTCATTTGTTCTTTTAGCTGTCCATGCTGTCATCAGTGCTGTTCACCAACACCTTAATACAAAGATGTGAGTTCTTCTTTGGGCTTCCTTACTCATGGTCCAACTTTCAGATGACCCAGGGATCCTCCTAATTTGAATTACCAGATGTGAAATTTGGATCTGGGTTTTTATTGTTGTTCTTCATTCCTATCCAGACAGAAGAACTCATAGCTGATCCTCCAGCAGATTTTCAGAGGCTGTAAATCACACGGGAGGAGAGTGCTTATCTTTCTCCCAGGATACAACTGGTGTGTAGTCAAATCACCTGTCTTTGGGTTGACAGTCAGCTCCCTACGCATGAGACCATTATCAGATCCAAAATTATCAAATTATCAGATGGAACAATGGCTCTCCTAGTTTGGTTTATTAGCAATCTATAGATCCTGATAGAAGAATTGATGTCTTTGAGCTGTGGTGTTGGAGAAGAGTACTGACCATCCCATGGACTCCCAAGAGAACAGATACGTATTGGAAAAAGTGCAGCTAAAGTTCTACGCAGAAGCAAGAATGGAAAATTTTGTCTTACACTTTGAGCATGTTGTTAGAAGAGGCTATTCCTTGGAAAGGGACATCATGCTTGGAAAAATAGAGGATTGTTGAATGAGAGGTGGATTCCCAATGAGGTGGAGTGACACAGTGACTGCAGCAATGGGTGCAAGTGTGTCAGAGATAATAAGGATGGCACAGGCTAGGACAGGGTTCAGATCTGTTGGTCATAGGGTTGCTGTGAGTTGTACTCAACTTGACAGCACCTAACAACGACAAAAACAACATCAATCCTGATGATAGAATAGGACCTTTCTCATCTCTTTCTTGAAGTACCTTAGAAATTGCCAAGAGGAGTGTGCAGGGACAGATGTTTGACCTGTGGACTGGAAAACCCAAGCAGATGGGATCACAGGATCCTAAAGACAGCTCATCACTGTCCTCTGCACCACCATCTCCTGGCTTCTCACTGTCTTGCCCCTCTGACTCTCCCCCCTGGCATGTGATGGCTTCTGTACCCCTTCTTTTTAGAGCAATATGCACATTATATTCACATCCCCACTTCCTGAAGGTGCTGTTGTAAACGAACCCATGTTGGTGGCAACTTTTCCAACTTCTCCTGCTTGGTTCATCAGTCCATGTGCTCACCCCCACCCAGAGGGTTCCATGCTCGTATGTGGAAATTAAATTGCTGTGACCAGTTCCATGTCCCACTGCTCCCTGAAATGGCTTGGAGGCTGTTGGCAGTATTTCTTCTTACAGAACCACTTATTAATCAGAGCTTCATTAACTCGTATTCACACATTTGTTTTTCTAACATCTGTTCCATTAATTTTCTGAGATCCAGTGTCAGGTCCACCAGATGGCAATTTCCAGTAACACTCACTCATCCTTTCCTGAAGATCAGTAGTGCATTTGCTTGTCTCCAGGCCTCTGATCCTTCCCGCCTTGTCTGTGACTCCCCCCCAACCACCCGTTGGGGTGATTATGAACTCATTCCAGTCATGCCTGGAATCTGGGTCTCTCCACTTGAATTTCACCTTGTGGCTATTGTTAGCACTTGTGCCGAGAGTCCTTCACTGGGTGTTAATGATGCTTGGACCTTCAGGATAGGAACTGCATAGCAGTAGAGGACAGACACGATCTTACTCTTTGCTGTTGCCTGGCTCCGAACCTTGGGACAGAGCACTCTCCAGCCAGTTCATGCAGACAGGGAAGAGAGCAGGCAGAGAGGTGACAGCATGTGCTGTCAGAGGGAGGCGGCATAGCATGTGTTGCCGGACAACACTCCTGTCACCAGCAGTCAGGAAATCAAAAGACCAATTGCATTGGGAAAATCTGCTGTCAGGGACCTCTCCATAGTACTGAAATGCAGCAATGTCCGTCAAGAGACTAAGGCGTGCCTAATCTAGGCCATGATCCTCACAATTACTTGCTCTGCATCAGAAAGCTGGGCAGTGACTGAGGATGCCTTCGAGTTGGGGTTCTCGAGAAGTCTTGAACATACCCTGAGAACAAATAGGTCTGTCTTGTAGAGGGTGAAATCAAGTTTCTCCTTGGAGGCTAGGATTTTGAAGCTCCATCTCACATACTTTGGGTATGTAGCCAGGAGGGACCAGTCCTTGGACAAGGACATCATGCTCAGAAGGGTGACAGCACAGGAAAGGAAGACCTTAATGAGACGGATTGATACAGTAACTGGGGCAAGAGGGGTTGGTGTGTCAGAATCAGTGACACTGGCTCAGGACCGAGCAGGCTTCAGAGCTGCTATACACAGAGTAGCTATGGGTCATAGGTTACTTGACAGCACACAACAACAACAACAAAGAAATAGGCCAGTGGTGATGGCGGTCAGATCTGAAGAAACATCTGTGGGCTTGCCAGGCTTAGGATGTAGGCACTTTTCCATATAAATGCTGCTTTGTTAGGCCTAAAAGTGCCAGCTATGCCATTGTGATGCTCAAAGCCTCTGTGGCTCCCCACCGGTGAATGAGACAAAACCCCAGCCCCTCAGTTTGATGTTTCAGCCTCTCCACAGGTGGGTCCCCATCTAGTATCTTGACTTCTTCTTACCCGGCCCAAGCCTCTTGCTTCCAGCTCCCCTTTCTTACCCACCTGCCCTTCTTCCCATCTCAGTCTTCTGTGAAGAGACCTCTGGTGGCATAGTCCCGGAGGAGTTGTATACACAACCCAAGGGCAGTGCCTGGCTGGTAATTCAAATCCACCAGCAGCTCCAGGGGAGGAAAATGCAGTCTCCTCCTGTGTGACTTCGAGCCTCCTGAACACTTGCTGGGGAGTCAGCTCCAACTAAAAAAGAATGAGTTGAGCTGTTGAGGTGAGTTAAGCTTCCATGAACTCTCTTCCCCCCTCTTCAAGCCCTAGCTTGCTGCAGGACGCACACCCAGGATCTCCTTTCTCACACAGACTTCCCTGGTCTTCTTCTCTCTGATCTCCTGCATCAAGTCCTCTCAAAACCCAAATGTACTGCCTTCGAGTTGGAATGAATACATAGCTGACTCCATCGGGCTTTCGGAGGCTGTAAATTGCACAGGAGGAGATTGGCTGCTTTTCTCCCTTGGAGCTGCTTGTGCTTTTGAACTGCTGGAGAGGCTGTGCACCTTTGGCTTCCCAGCATATCTCCCTACCTCCTCTGCCACCTGAGCTCACAGCAGGTCTTGGGCTTCTCTAAGTTCTCCCAACACTTTTCCTCTGGGCCTGTTACTCGGGTTCATGTAATAATAACTTTTCTTGGGTGTTAATCCTCCAGCTGGCAGGAGCTGTGTCACTCCTCTGCTTCCGAGTGTCCAGCACTGTGGGTTGCCCATTGTGTTTGCTCAGTGCATCATAGATCAGTGAATAAATGCATAAAAGAGAAAATGCATGGATGGATTTATTCTCTCTAGTCGCAGGCGACTCGACAGCACATAACAACAACAGTGCAATTAGATTATTGGGGAGATGTTGGTATCTTCTGAGAATCTGTATTTTAAGAAAGTATAGATAAGAATATCTGGGAGTCCCTCGATGCTGCAAATATTGCATTCTTGGCTGTTAACTAAAAGGTTGGAAGATCAAATCTTGAATGGCCTGGCAATCTATTTTCAAGGCACTAGCTATTGAAAGCCACATGGAGCACAGTTATACTGTGACACATATGGAGTCGCTGTGAGTTAGAATCTACTAAATTAAAACTTTATTTATTTTAAGAACAGCCAAGCTGAAGAGGTGAGCCTGAGCTGGCGGCAAGGCAGTGGGGGAGGGGACGACTATATCAGACTACTCAAGCCTTAGCTCCTGGCTCCTGGTTCACAGTGGGGGTCTGGGTCCAGAAACACTCTAATTCTGTGTTTCCACCTTTCTGCCAGACACCCACAGCCTTTAGAAGAGTCACAGGTGGAACTGGGCCATGAGACCAGAGGGTCTGTCGACAGCCCAGTGTCCCGTGGGTCTGACACACGCTTAGCCTCTCTCACTGCTTTTCTCCTAGACGAACTGGCAGTCTGTCCCAAAGGCATCACCTCCAAGGTTTTCCGCTTCAACGTGTCCTCAGTGGAGAAAAATAGAACCAACCTGTTCCGGGCTGAATTCCGAGTCCTACGGGTGCCCAACCCCACCTCCAAGCGCAACGAGCAAAGGGTCGAGCTCTTCCAGGTAAGCTGCGCTTCCTCCCAGAACAGAGATTCCTTTTCATGCGTCCTTTGATGTAAAGAAGAGTCTGGCCAACTTGGGTTCGAATCCTGCCCTCTCGAAGTCTTCATTTCTGTATCTGTTATTACTCTGGATACATTACTAGGAGGAACAAGTCCCTGAAGAATGACTTGATGCTTTGTAAAATTGTTGTTAGGTGGTGCTGTCAGGTTGACTTCAACTCACAGAGACCCTACAAACAACAAGACTAATACCACCTGATTTTGTTGCTGTAGTTGCTGTGCTAATCCACCTCATTGAGGGTCTTCCTCTGGTAACATCCCTAAATTATACAAGACCAAGTCTTCACTCCTTTAAAAATAGATGCTTCTTTCACCAGAAGTCCTGCTGGAGAAGGAGGGGCAATCTCCTCTTGTACCAGTCAGATCCTGTTTGATGGTACACACACAAAAAATAGTAAAATAAAAGATACAGGTGTTTGGGTTTTTTTTAAGTCCAAGGTATGTTCACTGTTCTGTACCAGTGCCACCATTTCAAAGGCATCAATTTTTTTGTTTTCCTTATTCATTTACCTGACTTTCACATGCATATGAAGCAACTGGAAATGCCATGGCTTGATGTAGGTGTCCCTTCAAAGTTACATTCTGCTCTTTAAGACATTAAGGAAATTCTTTACAGATTTGCCCAGTACAATCTATCATTTGATTTTCTTACAAATGGCTTCAAGGGACGCTGAAAAGTAGACAGTAAAAGAGAGGAAGACCCTCAGTGAGATGGATTGGTGCCCTGGCTACAGTAATGGGCTCACACAGCGATGACTGACGGGCAGGCTCAGGCCTGGGCGGCATTTCTTTCTGTTGTACATAGGGTTGCTGTGAGTTGGAACCACCTTGAAGGGACCTAACAAAAATGTCTGTTATTAAGAGAATTGAAGGAGCTAGCTAAGGTGCTGGCTGGAGACGGCATTCAAATCTTGGGGTGACCTTTGTTCCCGTCACCTGTTCCCTGAATCTGGCACATCTCATGCTCCCGTGTCCCGGCCCCAGCACTTATGCCTTTCTCTGCCCTGCAGATACTTCGGCCAGATGAGCACATTGCCAAACAGCGCTATATCGGGGGCAAGAATCTACCCACTCGCGGGACTGCCGAGTGGCTCTCTTTTGATGTCACTGACACTGTGCGTGAGTGGCTTCTGCGAAGAGGTAAGCTGCCCCTGGGCTGTGCACTTTGGAAGATGCCCTGGCCTGTGACCAAACGGGGAAGCGGCCAGTGTCAGGGGAGCTGCATGATCTGTGCTCAAAGTTTTGACTACTGACTTGCTGTGTAATCTTCCATTCACACCTCATGTGTCTTAGATGGTCACTCCAAGCGAGACCTTGTGGATTTGGCCGTGGACTAGACAGAGGAGGGCTGAGATGTTATGAGGCCTTTCCTCTGGTGGGAGAAACACATAATAAATAACAAAACAAACATAAAAAAAGAACTGCAGAGAGTGATAAGGGCTATGAAGAATAGAAAGAGGGCAATGTGCTAATGCGCAAGCGGAGTCTCACACTAGATGGTGTTAGCCCTTCACAAGGAAGGGCTCTCTGGAGGAGGAGTCGGCCCTCTGAGATGCGACTGATCAGAAGGGGTCTCCTGTGGAGACCAGGAGAGAAGATGCTCAAAATCAAGGGAGCATCAAGGCCCAGGTGTTCAGGTTTGAATAAGGTTGATCAGTTCCAGAAGCAGCAGACAGACTGACGTGTCTGGAGGGCAGTGAGGTGAGAAGAGAATGGTATGAACTGGGGTCATCTAAGGCCATATGATTTAGGATGGATCTTGGCCAAAAGCAGAGAGTACCAGAGGAATGTCTATCTGTGTTTCCTTGATTTGACTGTATGGATCACAACAAACTGTGGCTAACTTCAAGAAGAATGAGGGTCCCCTAACAATTAATTGTTTTCATGTGAAACCTGTACTTGGACCAGGAAGCAGTGGTCAGAAAAGATCAAAGAAATAAGGTCCAAAATCAGAAGAAGAGTGTGTCAGGGATGTATCCTGTCTCCACACCTTTTCATTCTATCTCTGGGACAGATCATTTAGAAGGCTGGACTTTATGAGGAGGAATGTGACATCAGGATTAGAGGAAGACTCATCAACAACCTGCGTTATGCAAATGATAAAATCTTGCTTGCCAAACGTGAGGAGGACATCATTTTCATTCTGCATTTGCTGCAAAAGGTCAAGGACTGTAGTCTTCAATATAGATTAAAGCTTAGTATAGATTCTCACCACTGGGCCAATTGGCAGCTCCATGATAGAGGGAAAAGAGATCGAGGTTGTTAACAATTTCAGCTTGCTTGGTTCCACAATCAACACTCTTGGCACCAGCAGTCAGAAAATCAAAAGATAAAGTGCATAAAGAAAATCTGCTGTCAGGGATCTCTCCTGAGTGATGAAGAGCAACAATGTCAGTATAGAGACTAAGGTGTGCCTGATTCGGGCCATGGTCTTCACAATTACTTGCTATACACCAAAGAGGTGAACAGTGATTAAGGACAAGAGAAGCAAGAGAAGAGTTGATGCCTTTGAGTAGTGATGCTGGAGTACTGAACATACCATGGACTTCCACGAAAACAAACATGTCTGTCCTGGAGAAGGTTAAATCAAGTTGCTCCTTGGAGGCAAGGATTTTGAAACTCTATCTCACATACTTTGGGAACGTTGTCAGGATGGACCGGTTCTTGGAGAAGGACATCATGCTTAGAAGGGTGGAGGAATAGTGCAGGAGAGGGAGACCCTGGATGTGATAGATTGACGTAATAAATGGGATAGTAAGGGTAGGTGTGTCAGAGTCAGTGATATTGGCTCAGGACAGAGCAGGGTTCGGACATTGTACATAGGTTCACTATAGTCTCTGGAGACTTGATGGCACATAACAACAAGGCCATGGTAAGGGTGGAGTGGTGTTGCAGTGGTAGAGTTTTGCCTTCCTTGTGGGAGACCTCAGCTTGGCCAGTATCCTCTATGCACAACGTCACCTGTTTGGCAGGGAAGGCTCATGTGCTGCTGTGGCCTCAGTGGACCATCTGGTCTAAGACCTCCTACGAAGAAAGGCCTGATGATCAATTCCTGAAAATCAGCCAGTGGATCACATGGCCCTCCCTGGATCACAACAGTCCAGTTAGGGCCTGGCCACGGTGGTGGCACAGGACAGCAGCATTTTATTCTGTTGTGCCCCAGCTGGGGGCTGACCCAATGGCAGCAGCAGAAAGCCCGTGGGAAGGATTTCGGGCTTATTCCAAACATGGAGAGAAGCCGGGGAGAGTTAGAAGCAGGGCTGAGAGGGAGGAGTGTGAGATTTAGTGTTCAACTTTGAAAGACCCCTGTTAGTTGCCTGTAAGTTTAGGAAGATGCGGAGAAACCAGTTAGGGGCCATGGCAGCGGCCTGGAAGAGAACAACAGGGGCTAGAATAGGACAGTGGCAGTAGAGAGTCTAGGTGGGTGCGTTATATATTTTGGAGGTAGAGACGACGAGACAGGATGATTAGGTAATGGGGACTGAGGAAACAAAGGAGTCTGGGATGACTTCTAAGTTTGTGGCATGAATATTGGAGTGGTAGCATTTATCAAAAGGGAGCTCTAGTGGCTTTGTGGTAAGGAATTGTGCTGCCAACCCGAAGGCACATGGTTCGAATCCTCCAGCTGCTTTGTAGGAGAAAGATGGGCAGTCTCTTCCCACATGATTTACGGCTTCTGAAAAGCCACAGGAGGGTCAACTACGGACCAGTTCCAACTCAACTGTACACAAGAGCAACAGTCACTTTCAAAGGGGCACGCTGGTGGTAGAGTTGTTCTGAAAATACAGTTTCTCAGTTCAAATTCACTTTCTGCTCCACCAGAGAAAGATGGATAATCTCCTCCCAGGGCACTTCATGGCTTCTGAAAACCCACTCACAGCTATGAATTGGTGCTGACGTGACATTTCACAGCAACAGCATCATTTATCAAAGGGAGCTCTGGTGACCGAGGAGGTGAGGAGCTGGGCCAACTTTGCCCAAAGGTGAGTGGTTTGAATCCACCAGCTGCTCAGAGGAAGAAAGATGGGAGAGAAAGCGATGGACATTCTTCTCCCACGTGATTTACAGCCTCTGAAAACTCATTTGAGAGTCATCTATGAGGCATTTCTGACTGAACAACACATAACAACAACAACATCACTTACCAGAATTGGAGAGATTGGGAGAAGAACAAGTTTGAGGGCAGACTCTATTTTATTTATTACATTTGAAAGACCTAAAAGTCAGCCAAGTCCTAATGACACTGTGGCTAAAGTGCTTTCCTGTTTTAAACGGAAAGGTTGGTGGTTCAAACTCACCAGCCGCTACGTGGGAGAAAGAAGTGGCAGTTTGCTCCTGTAAACATTCCAACCTTGGAAATTCAGTGTGACTGTTCCACTCTGCTCTGTAAGGTTGTTGTGAGCTGGGATTGATTTGACAATGGGATTAATCATTCATGTTGTCTGACAGGCATCTACATATCCAGAACCTCTCAACCACTCAACTGTGTTTCTTTACCTGGAAAACCAGGTGACAGTTCCTCTTTCACATGGCTCCCAAAGCCGCTGAGCACAAAGGTCTCGGAGAAGCCCCAAGAAGCCACAGCAACACTGTTGGGAATTCTGATTCAGATGGCACTCCGCCTAGGGCCCGCCATGGCCACAGAAAGCAGAGGCTGGGGAAATGAATCGCTTAGCTTCCTTGTCTGATTTTGATCAGCTCCACCTGGATTTCTTTGAAGCCCTGGGCACTTGAAGGAGTTCTTATTTTCACAGCTGCAGAACTCAATGAGAAGTTTGCACTGAGAATGATTCCCATCCTCCTTGAGACATCAAACAGATCATTTTGTAATAAAACCTATGGGTCCCCCACCCACCATTTCCACTGCTGCCAATTCTGAGGTTAGAGCTTTTCTGGAACCTTCAGTTCCCACTCAGGCAGATGCTGCCCACCCCTTCCACAGGGAAATCCTAATATAAACCTTGAGAGAGAGAGACAAAAGGAGAGGGAGATGGAAAAAAAAGATTGTGAGAGAGAGACAGGGAGAGACAAAGAGAGACAGGGAGACAGAGGGAGAGAAAGAGAGCTTATGGCAACCACGTGATTCTCCTGAGTTCATGGCCCAAGTAAGGAAGGAATTGGCAGGAAATGGGCTCCAAAAGGAGCAGTTGGTGCTGTTGGTTGATGAAGAAGCTTAATGACACATGTGGTCTTAGATTTATTCATCAAACATGTGGGAGCCGACTGTGCACTGCCACATAGACTACTTTCTGAGTTCCCTCTCCAGTGTTAAGGGCCCAGGTCCTCAGACCTCTGGTCTGTTGTTCAGCCTGTTGTCTCCTGACATGCAGAGCCAAACCTCCCTAGTCGGCTGGGCAGGGAGCCCATCCATTTTCTTGGCTCAGCACGAGTTGACCACCAAGAAAACACAATCATTTTGCATTTCCGTGAATGTGTAGGCATTTTCTTTGGTGGCCTCTATTGCCTCTCCCTGACTCCAGCAAGTGTGTGGGCTCTGGCAACAAGCTGTCTATACTTGAACCCTAGCTCTACTTCTTCCTGGTTGGCTATCATGAGTAAACTGTTTCTCTAAGCCTCAGTTGTCTCTTCTGCAAAATGGAGATAATAGTTCTTAGCATGTAGGAATCGTCTCACATCTTTTGGACCTGTTGTTAGAAGGGGCTGTTCCTTGGAAAGGGACATCATACTTGGGAAGGTGGAGGACAAGCCAGAGAGAGGAAGACCCTCAGTGAGATGGATTGACTCTACTTGACCTCAGTATGTGAGAGATGATGAGGACAGCAGAGGAGAGGACAGTGTTCAGATCCAGGGTTCACAGGGTGGCTAGGAGTCATACTTGACTCGACAGCACCTAACAATAACAACAGCAACTCTGTAGGATTATTATCAAGACTATATGAAGTAATGCTTATCAAGTACAAGATTTTTATAGTGTTTGATGTGTGTTCAGCAAATGTCAGTAACTGATATCAGTCTCTGACCTCTATACCTCCTGGGAACCTTCTGTCCAGGGCACTACCATCAGTATACTAGCCCTACCTCTCCTAAATCATGCATCTGTGCCTTGACATTCTAACTCATAGAATAAAAAAATTGACCCACTCTTGTCTCTTCTGTCTTTTGCTATTCCATGTGACCTCTATGAGCTCCTTCTCTTTGCCTGGAACCAGGAAGAAGACACATCCTCTCTCTCCACATCTTTCTTCCAGCTGACACTCAGCCGCCTTGTTATATTAGTGTCTTCCACCAGGGCAGATGTCTTCAGGATCAGCAGGCGTCTGTGCGTCCCAGAGGTTCTCCTGACTTGGCGTGGGGGGAAAAAATAGGCTTGGGCTTTGGAGCTCATCGAAGAGAGATTGCGTTGATTTTTAGCTCAGAGGACTGGGAAATCCAGGCCTTCCTAACAGTAACTGGAATCCCTGGACTTGGGCCATTCTGCCCGGGAGAAGGATGCTGACTCAGCCTGGACTCTGAAGTTTTCCCTGATGACACCAGATTTCAGGACTGCCCCTGGTTGGCCCCAAGGCCAGATGTTCATTTAGAACTGGGGTGGCCTCAGTAAATCAGTCAGCTCACTGACATACTGGTCCTGAATCCAGAGGGGTCCAGCCCCATGACCTCTCCACTACCTAACCACAGCTGACTGCTGCCCCTAAATCAACAGTGCACCCCTATGTGTGTCTTTCCAGAACTGACCTATTTGCCCTGTGTCAAACTGCTTGATTCTGTTAAAACTTTTTGTTTATCTTTATTCTTTTTCTCCTCCTCCATTTTACTCAACTCCTTTTACCAATTTCCCTATATCCTTGACGTTGGCCACCTAAGCACCTTATATATCCCACAACTAATAGGAAAATGGACAGGGCTGGTCTTCATGCACAGAATGTCCAGTCCCATATCTTGGTAGCTCCAGGCTTTCTCATGCCTGTTCTCTCTGAGCTCATGTCATCTGGACACTTGGCCACAATTCCATGCCACCTCTGGTTTGCTCTCTAATTTCACAATGGGATTCCAGAGCTGCGTTCCTCCCTCACTGAGCTGTCTACATTACCAGCTTCCCATTATGCAAAACAAAGATTCCCAAAGATGAAGTCTCCAAGTAATTTTTAGTTCACTATATTTTTACACTTTAAGAAAACTCTATTTTTGAATAGGGGGGAAAAGGAGAATCAAATATCGGAAGAGGATATGAAATGTGTGTTTAATTGCCTCCATGAATAATTGCATCCTTAACTGTGAGACAGGAAAGTATAGATTAGAAGGGTGAAAGAAATAAGTATCATTAAGGTTTATGTGGCAAGAGAATTGTTTCAATATGGGGTCTGTAATTAACACCATAAAATAAAATTTGTGTAAATGAGTGAATGGAAAACCAATTGCTCTACAAAATTTCACTCAAGGCACTTTAAAAAAAGAACTCTGTATATGGGATTAAATTGACAACAACAAAAAGAAAAGCTTTAAGCAGCTGAGAGAGAAAAAATGAAAACATGGCCAAATGTCACTAGGATTTTCATCTTCTATCGTCCCTTTTCTCTATACCCACAATCATAGCCTTGGAAGAAATGTTGGGTCTTCCAACTGGAAGGATTCCGCTTCTTGTTTGTGGGTGACTTTGCCTCTGGCAAGAATTCCGGACTCTGAATCCTATTGCTTGGGTTCTGCCTCCTTGCATCGTGAGGTCCCTTGAAACATGGCAACACCTCTGGTTTTCTGCTTCAGGATCAATGACTTCATTTCCCCAGTCTCCTCCAGTTCCTCTGTTTCTTCTTCTCATTCTTCCTCAGTTGTTGTTAGGTGCTGTTGAGTCGAGTACCGCTCATAGAGACCCTATGAACAGTCAACCTGAAACCTGCCCTGTCCTGTGCCATCCTCACCATCTTGGAGACACGAGAGCCCATTGCTAAAGTCACATTGCTGATACATCCTGTTGTGTGTCTTCCTGTCCTTCACTGACCCTCCATCTTTCCAGGGATGATATCCTATTCAAAGGAACAGCCTCGCCTACTTATATGCCCAAAGGATGAAAGAAGAAGAAGTTTCATCATCCTTGCCTCCAAGGAGCACTCTGGTTACTCTCTTCCCAAGACATATCTGTTTGTTCTCTTGATGGTTCATGGGATATTCAGTACTCTTCTCCAGCACCACAACTCAAAGGCATCAAAGCTTCTTCTGTCATCCTTATTCATTGTCCAGCTCCTGATGCATAAGTAGGTGGTTGAGAAGACCATGGCCTGAATCAGGCACACCTTAGTCTTCCAACTGACATCATTGCTCTTCCTTTCTCAGCAGTTTAGCTCAAACATCTCCTCTTTAAATGAAAACTCTTAGGTGTTAATACTGCCTGTTTTTTCCTTCCCTTCCCTTTCTTTCCCTTCCCTTCCCTTCCCTCCCCTTCCCTTTCTCCTTTCTCTCTCCTTCCCTCCCTCCCTCCCTCCAGGTAGGAAGTGACAATTTTCTCCTAATTCTGTCCTTGGAAAATCCATGAGTACTGTGATTTTCCTTCACAAGATCCACTAGTTTGCATTCCTCTTTGGTTGTTGAATATGTAAAAGAAATACACAAATGTAACAACACATGTGTGAAGGTCCACGCTAAGATTTGAAAGTGCTTCTGTCCCTCAGTATTGCAACTCTCAGTTTAACATGGTTCCTATGGGAGGAAACGTCCTGGACCACCCTTGCATGGATGACGGATGCACCTTCTCACCACACAAAGTGATTTTTCATCAACTCTTCCTTCATTCCTAGAGTCCAACTTAGGTCTGGAAATCAGCATTCATTGTCCATGCCACACCTTTCAGCCCAATGGGGACATCCTGGAAAACATCCACGAGGTGATGGAAATAAAATTCAAAGGTAACAAAATGCATGTGTGGGATAGGGGGTGTGGGGAGGTGATGAGGCAGAGCAGGAGATTCTCCAATAGACACAAAATTAAGCTCCCTCCGTGGAAGCAAGGGTGGTGGAGCTGCTCTGGGCATGTAAGAACATCGTGCTGGGAAAGGTGGAGGGCTCAGTGCAGGAGAGGAAGACCCTCAGCAAAGATGGGTTGACACAGTGACTGCAGCAAGGGGCTCGAGTGGGGTGGAGGTGGTGAGGATGGCACTGAGTAAGGCAGAGCCATTGTTCACAGGTCACTATGAGTCACAGTTAACTAAAGGGTGCAGAACAGCAGCACAGAGATGGTATTTTGTACTTGAGTGATTCTGCTTCATCCCACAAACAATGAAGGGGAAGTTTAACTAATGAATATGTTGTTGTTATTATGTGCCGTCTAATCGTCTGCGACCCATAGTGACCTTATGTACAACAGCCCTAAACTCTGCCCTATCCTGTGCCAATCTCACCTTCTCCAACACACCTGCCTTCATTATTACCCCAGTCATTGAATCAATCCATCTCATCGAGGGTCTTCCTCTCCTGAACTGTCCCTCCACCCTCACAACCAAGCATGACGTCCCTCTCCAAGGTCCCTCCTTGCAACATGTCCAAAATATGTCAGACGAAGCTTCAAAATCCTTGCCTCCAAGGAGCAGCCCAACTTCACCCTCTCCAGGACAAACCTGTTCATTTTCTTAGCAGTCCATGGTAAATATAGACAATACTTTAGATACTTAAGTAGCTAAAAGACAGCATGAGGTTGGGAACAATGAGATCAGGTTAAGTGTGGGCCTGGACCCAGACCTGCTCTGTGGTGTTGCCATGGCGATGAAGGGCACCCCTTTCACAAGGTTGGGATGCAAATCAAATGAGATCAGAAGGTCAAACATAGTGGCCGGAAAGCTGAATTACTCTGAAATAAATTAATTTAGGTGTCCAAGAGTAGGAGGCCCCTCACAATGGGTTGTAGATGTTTGATGTTCTAGATCATATGAGTTTGGAAGAATGCTTTGTGGCCAGATGTGGTTTTATGTTCGCGTTTAGTTGAGTAATTTCTTTTGTCAATATGTTTCTGGAGATAGCTTAGGTAGGTAGGGGTTTCGGGGACACTCCTCCACTCCTCCCGTTTTATTAGTAACCGAGGCCTACCTGAACCTGGGATGTTTGTCCAAGGCTGTACAGACTTGCCTGGACAAAGGTGCGGTTCACGTGGCTCTCCAACCTGGGCAATTCTCTTAACCTTCGTGGGCTCCATTTCAGAGTCTACTTTTCTAAAAGCCAAGGATTTGACATTGTGATTGCAGACCCTCAGAGCTCAGCTCTTTGGAACCTTCACCTACAAGTCAGGTTAGGTTGAAACTCTCCTTCATTGACTACGTCCCTCATTCATAGACATTTTCAGAAAACAGAACTTGAGAGTCGAGTCTGTCATTTAAAGATCTGGTGCTCTTTCTTTTTTTTTAATGGTTAGTCATTCATAGAAATTTATTGAAACATATTAGTGTTAGCAGGGTAGTATAACACTTCCCCCCCCCTTGAACAGTAAGCATTGCTGTTGTTAGATGTCATTGAGTAGATGACTCCTAACAACCCCATGAACGAACCAAAGATGTGAATCTTATCATATCCTGTGCCATACCCATCGTTTCTGATATACTTGAGCCCATTGCTGTAGTCACTGTGTCAATTCAGCTGGTTGAATGTCTTACTCTTTTGCCTACCTTCCAACCCTCCCACACACACTAGTGTTATTTACAAAATTCTAATACATTGTTTTCAAGAACAAATTCTTTCCATTTCCCTCACACCCCACATCAAATTGTATAATCCTATTATTAGCCTCCCTTCCCCCTGCACATCCTCATCCCTCTGCTTCCAGCTTCTCCCACCCCTCTTGGATCCTTATACTCATTCTACAATAATGGTTTTATACAATATTTATCCTTGTGGGACTGAGTTAGTTCACTCAGCATAATGCTCTCCAGTCTCTCCTAAGTTAGGTAGTCATTCACAAAATTGTTGCTTCTGCGTGCTGCACAGTCGAGTTCTAAGTCCTCCAGCCACAAATTGGAAACATCATGCTCCTGTCCTCAGTGGAGATGAACACTATTTGGTGGCTGTCCTTCACAGAGACCTGGTGGTGCAGTAGCTAATTAGGGTCAAATGTTCTAACCCCATCAGCTACTCTGTGGGAGAAAATGGTAGCGGTCTGTTTCTATAAAGAGTACAGCCTTTATGGAAAGCCTGCAGGACAGTTCTGTCTTATACTTCTAGTCTGTCACTTTAAATCGGAATTCTACTTGACAGCAAAGGGCTTCATTTTTTGTTTTGGTCTTTCACAAAAACAGACTCTCATTTAGTTGAGATTCTAAGAAAGTCTTCATTCTTTTCCTCTTTGCATGAAATAACAGGTTTTCTTTATAGAGCTTGTGGCCAATTATCATATAACTTCATTACCTCATGAGTTTTATAGTGGTAACATTTTTAAAACCTTTAAGTGCAAAGCAAACATTAACAATTTAAATTTTAGTCAACTTGGCTTCCATTCAAGTGAAATTAAGTGAATGCCTTACACTGTAAAGAAGGTGTCCATGCTAACACATTTTGATTGTAAGAGGATGCTAATAGCCCAGGATTTTAAACCTTGAATCTCAAATGATAACCCAAAGGTCCATGGTAGGTACCCATCTATGTGTCAGGGATCCAAGAAAATCCTGCGGGAGGGCTTTGTAAGAATTAAACACAGACATCTTGAGGGGACCTGAACGTGCACATCCTGAGGTGGTGTCCATGTGATCCTTGCATCCTTCCTTCTGGCTTGTGCTTCTCCACCTGGCCCCCTCTTTCCTGCACTCAGACGTTAGAATGGAGCTGCACTTGCCCACATCCCTTTTCTAAGCAGTGAAGGGGATGGAGGAACATGCAGCTCCAGGGACTCCAGGACTCCTCATCTGCTCTGCTTTCCTTAGGAGATTCCCTCCTTTCTTCCTCTCTGCAGGTGTGGACAACGAGGATGACCATGGCCGTGGAGACCTGGGGCGCCTGAAGAAGCAGAAGGATCACCACAACCCTCATCTAATCCTCATGATGATCCCCCCACACCGGCTGGACAACCCAGGCCAGGGAGGGCAGAGGAAAAAACGGGCCCTGGACACCAATTACTGCTTCCGGTGAGCCTGGCCCCACACGGGGTCCATGCATTTCAGAAACGTCTGTTGCACTTCCAGCTGCTGAATCAGCCCCAAGCCCTACATCTAAACCCCTAGACCATGCTAAACTGGGTCTCCTGGATGTTATTTGCAAATATCTCCAGGAAAGAAGATGTGAAATCTCTTCTAAAATTGCTCGTTTTTTGAGAGCCCAGCTGTTTTGAACAGCCCAGCTGTTTTCCTGCTGCCTGTAAGGGCCTGGATGAAATAAATGAGGGGAAAAAAACACAACAACCCACCCAACTCTTTGAGGAGAGTGTTGCTAAAATAGTTTGCATTGGAGCGGCTTGGCTGAGTCTTCTCTGTGGTTTTCATGTTTTAGAAAGCACTTGTAGGGTGTGTTTGTGTGTGTGTGTGTGTGTGGAGATTAATGCAGGAATTTCCATTAAGGAAGTGTTCAGTTCTCTATGAAGCGTCCAAGGAAGCTACTGAGTGACGAAAAAAACAAGGCAGTCTCCATATGCAGGGAGAATTCGAGCTAAAGAAATTAACACATCAATTCAAGAAAAAGTGGTTGATGGCTGGAGAGAGGTAGAGAAGACAGTTTCTTCTGTGTCCATTATAAAAGGAAGGCGTGACAAACCATGCATATAAATTACCAACAAGTAGAAAACGACCACATCACAAGGCTCAGGATTGTGTGCTTTTGGAATTAGTAGCGGGAAGTTCATCAGTGGACACAGGAAAGGCTTCAGAAGGTTGTGGCCATTTGGCTGCCTTTTCAGGGACGAATGGGGATGAGTATGTAGAAATCTGGAATTGGAAAAACTTCAGTGGAAGGAATTAGTCTAAGGAGATTAGAATGGAGACAAGGAGAATGAATTGGAAATGTTTGCCATTTGAAAACCATGGCTCAGAAAGGACAAGTGGATGAAGTAGGGCTTTTGTGCTTGGGGAGTAGAAGGTATAGGAGAAACAATGTAATTCCTTCCAGTTGTCTGAAGGCTGTCACGCGAGTTTGTTCTGTGGAGCTCTTTCTTTATCAGGCAGGAGTATGCTAGACTTTGAGTAACAGTGGCATACGCCATAAGTGATTTTTCTTTTCTTTTTAAAATGTATTCTTTTTGTGTGTGTGTGTACTGTCAAATCTGATCTGACTGGTACAGGAGGACATTGCCCCTCCTTTTCCAGCAGAGCATCTGGTGGATTCGAACCATGTGCCTCTGGGATTGCAGTGCAGCTTCTTGGCACTAGGCCACCAGAGCTCCCTCTATAAGTGATATCTCATTCACAAGAAGCCTGTTCAGTAGGTTCAGGGCTGGCTTGGCTCTTAATGATGCCATTGCAAACATAGGCTTAATCTCTTTCCAACCTATTACTGTGAGCATGTTGGCTTATCAGCCTCTTACATTATGGTCACAAGTGACTGTTAGAATTCTAAGTATCTTCTTGTCCATGGTCAAGAACAGGATGAAGGGAAAAGGGAAAAGCCTGCAGCTCTCCCCATTCATCTGCCTCTTTTATAAAGCAGCAGATATCAGTGCCCCAACTTCCTGCAACACCCTGCATTCATTTCCTTATATTTGATTGATCCTTATTGAGTCTCATGATCAACCCTACCTGCAAAGGAGGCCAGACTCAGTAGTGGGAGGTGACAGTGAAGAAGAGGCCTAGAAATTGCTACTGGGGAGGTATCCAGGGACCTTTGCCATAGATTCACAGTTAGAACTCAAGAGGAGGTAGGCTTTGGCCAGTAACTGCCTCTGGCAGTAACAAATTCTATGTCTTTGCAGACATTGAAGCAGAGGCTACATGCCCATGCAGCAAAGGGCATTGCCAAATGAGGGTCTATAGGCAACAGAATTGAGGGACTCTGATAGTCACATTTGGACTGATCTGGGAGTCATGATTCTAGTGCATATGCTTTGCTTTGTGTCCGTCTGTGCAGTCATTTGCTCTGATTTACAAGCTGCATACATTTCGAGTTCATTGCTGGCTGGCTTGGTGCCCTTAGGAAATAACAATAACCCAACCAAAGCTGAGTTGGCTAATAACATTTAGTGCTTAGTTTTATGTCAATCACTTCATGTCTTTAATTCAACCTTTTTTCCAGGAGCTCTCACAGAAGCACGCCCTCCCTTATCCTCTATCAAGCTACCTTGCTACCTTTGTAGCTACCTATCAAGTCCTTGGGATTCTCGGATCCCGCACAGAAAGTTGTCTCTATGGTTTCATCAGCTCTGTGCCCTTGAACCTGGGATTCCACTGATTCCACAGACCTCAGCTGAAGGCTGGGAGGCCCTCCAAGTGCATGTACATGGGCCATTTGTGAAGTTCTGATGGTTTCAAGTTGATTTTCTATACATGTTTTTGGTTGCAGTAACCTGGAGGAGAACTGTTGCGTGCGTCCTCTGTACATCGACTTCCGACAGGACCTGGGCTGGAAGTGGGTCCATGAACCCAAGGGCTACTTTGCCAACTTCTGCTCAGGCCCTTGCCCGTACCTCCGCAGCACCGACACGACACACAGCACGGTACGGAGCACGTGAGGCACCGAGGCTGTGTGACCAGTGCGCTGAGCAGAAGAATGAATGGAGGACGACTAAATGCTGAATGAGTGAAGGATGGTGTGGAAGGAATATGACCTCTCTGGTCTTGACACCCTGGTTCAACTCTACTGGGACTCCAAATCCCCTTCCTCCTTTTAAAATTCCTTCCAGAGTTTCAGCCAGACTTTGCATTTGCTTTGTCTCACACACCATCCTAGATGCGGTTATACTCCAGGGCCTGGGTGGCAAGGAACGTGCAGGTGGAAAGGCTTCTTCTACCGTTAGTTTAAGAAGCTGGATAATTGAGCTGCTTGAATTTAGAAGGTGATTCTGAAAGACAGGACAGAGCGTGTAAGAGAAGCTAAACTGGAACACTTGTGTGAAGCAAACAAGGAGGGCCGAGAATTCTGAAACTCGCTTGTCCTTCTCTCTGGGGGAATGAAAACAGGGCCATAGTTTATGAAGCGTGTTTCCTTATAGTTCATTAGCAGTGCACCCTGCTTGGGGCTCACCTCCCACTCACTCAGTGACCCAGGGCCACGTTGAGGGAGAAAATTTCTCACCAGAATGATGTGTTACAGTAAAGAGGACCAACTGGGCTGCTTTATTAATAATGAGGAGAATCCCTGGAAGGTGCAGATCATTACTCGGCCAGCTACCAACCAAAAGGCCCGGTGTTCTGATCGACCTCCAAAAGATTAGTCACCGGTACCCTACGGAGACCAGTTCTACACACACACACACACACACACACACACACACACACACACACACACACAGTCACTGTGGCTCAGAAGCACCCCCAGAGCTTTATTTGTCTTTGGTTAAGAGGACTTTGTCACCACCTTACAGGCCCCCATGAACAGCCCGTGTGAACTGCGCGCAGGGAGTTCTGGTGGCCCAGTCGGCAGTGAGGTGCACTGCTAATCCAAGGGCCGAGCTGCTCCGGTGGTTCGATTCCGCCAGCGGCTCTGAGGGAGAAGGATGCGTAGGGCCCTCCTGTTATGATCACAGCCTCAGAACCGATGGGGGTCGCTGCAAGTCAGAACCGACTCCGGCATTGAGTTTGAGCTTTTTATCATAGAAAGTGAAACCAGACTGCTCCTTGGAGGCAAGGATTTAGAACTGCTGTCTCACATACTTTGGGCATGTTGCCAGGAGGGGCCAGTCCTCGGAGAAGGACATCATTCTTGGAAGGGTGGAGGGGCAGTGCAGGAGAGGAAGACCCTGGATGAGATGGATTGACTCAGTGACTGTGGCAGTGGGGGTCACGTGTGTCAGAGATGGTGGGGCTGGAACAGGATAGTGCAGGGATCAAAGCCGTTGTTCTTAGGGTCCCTAAGAGTCAGTCGACTTGACGGCACATAACAACTACATGCTCAAACTTTAGCCCTAAAATAAAGGAACAGATTCCACATTCTTTATGGGTGAATGGCATTGCCCATTCCCCATCCCCACAGTGTCCCATGATTGTTCATAAACAGCACCAGTGACCTAGTACTGGGGGCTCGGTCTTTGCAGCAGCCCCTGGCACTGGCTAAGTTCCTGGGCTCCACAAGGGGTTCAGGTGTCCAACCTCTGGCATGGTGTTTCCCTCCCCAGGTGCTGGGAATGTACAACACCCTGAATCCTGAAGCATCTGCGTCACCCTGCTGTGTGCCCCAGGACCTGGAGCCCCTGACCATCCTGTACTACGTCGGGAGGACCCCCAAGGTGGAGCAGCTCTCCAACATGGTGGTGAAGTCCTGCAAGTGCAGCTGAGATGCCCCCTGACAGGAGAGAGGGAGAGCACTGCTGCCGCCTGACCGCCCGCTTCGGGAAACAAAAGCAACAGACCTCACCTGCAGGCCTGGGGCCCCCACCTCCGGCTCCGGGCAAATGGCTGAGATGGAGGCGCCCTTTGGGGACAATTCTCTTTCTTGCTGGCCCTGAGAAACACTGTGGTAAAGAAAGTGTGGGTTTGGTGAGGGGAAGGCCGGATTCTTGAGAACACACAGATCTTCTGTGATGTAGACAGAGGTGGTAGGGACACAGGAAAAGGGCTGGAAAGCGGACACATGGTGTGGCAACGGGACTTGGGATCTCCTAGGGAGTGGGAAGGGCAGAGAGCGGCTTGGGGCAGGGCCAGACTGGAAGATGCTTCTGATCGAGGTCAGATTTGCTCATTGCTGCACCCCATCTGCTCTAGGGAACCTGGACTTTCTTAGGCCAAGCGAGCATTCTTCTTTGGACAGGTTGCTAAGACCAAGTTCCAGGGTTGCTCTCTCACACTACCTGAGAGTAAGGACAAGCCTGTTTTTGCAAATTGTCCTCTCTGCATCAGTCAGCACCGTGGGTCATTACAGGGAGCACGTCCAGGTAATGGAGTTCTCGGGCCTTCAGTTCTGTTGGGCCCTGTGGATATGCAGAACTCAGAAGGAATGAATCCTCTCCCGTCTGCCCCCTGCATCCCTCCTCTTGCCTTCTTCCTCAACTGTCTTTCCCCTTTGACATTTGGCTAGACACCTTGTGGGTCAAATCGCACATATTGGAATTGTGGGTCTGTGCGGCGTGATGTGTCCTCCCCTGGCATCCCCAAGACCCCGAGTGTATTTGGTTCCTGGAAACAGGTGCTACGTGTAAGGCATTTGGGGAGCCCACAGGTGTGGCGCACACTGACTTGGCCCCAGACGCACAGACTGAGGTATAAAGACAAATACAAATATTACTCTCAAAAATCTTTGTATAAATAAATATTTTTTGGGAAGCTTGGATTTGTTTCCTCCTCTGGAGATTGTTTCTAGAGCATCAAAAGATTAAAAAAAAAAAAGGTAAATTCTGGCTCAGTAAATATCCTTAATCATCCTTTTCTTAGTGTGAGTCTATGTCTCCTAATCAGAGATAATGGGAATCTGGGCAGAGACTTTCGCGAACATTCAAAATGTTGCTTAATGTGAATACCTGGGCAGTGTGCATTCTGCAGTGTTGCACATACCCCCTTCCTTCTCATGGGTTAATTTACTCTCAGACATACAGAAGCAGTTACTCAGATTTGCATAAATGTACAGCTCTGACCTCCAGGTAACTATTTGTAACCCCCACTGGTGAGAACTCATGCATATGGGCACGTGCTGGTTTGTACATTCACTATAAACTGGCAAAATCCCCATTAGCCACCCCCCCAATATCTAATCTCAACCATAAAATCAATTGACAACAGAGAAAAAAATGTTTGTTACAAATGGACAAAGACTATGAGCTTCTGCCTGTTGTCAGGTCAAATCTAGAGGAGCTGACGTGGAACCCCCTTTTCAGACTCTAGGAACCTCCTTTTCAGACTCTAGACCTCACATCAGGAGGCCTTTTGGAGGTAAAAGAAGAAAAGTGCCCTCATTTGAAGTGATCTATCCCAGAGCAATGCAGGATTGGGTGGAATTCATGTTACCTGAAGCAGCCATCTGCAGTGATCGTGTGGGCACACGATGATTCGACAATTTGTCATGTAAGGGCTTCGAAAAACAGTCATCACTTGAGATCACGTTACTGGGGGGGGTGGGAATGTCCACTTCAAGCTAATCTTTGTAGGTGAAGCATATCTATAATATATACATGGCTGTGTTGTTGTTAGGTGCCATTGAGTATGACTTATAGCGACCCTATGAACAATAGATTTGAACCTTATTCTGTCCTGTACGCTCCTCACAATCTCTGACACACTCGAGCCCATTGCTGCAGTCACTGTGTCCATCCACTTGGCTGAGAGTCTTCCTCTCCTCCACATCCCTCCTCCTTCCCCAGCTTGATGTCCTTCTCCAAGGAGTAGCCTCTCCTAGCAGCATGCCCAAAGTATGTGAGACAAAGCTTCAACCCCTTTGCCTCCACGAAGCACTCTGGCTGCACTTTCTCTAAGACGTACCTGTTGATTCTTTTGGCCACCCAAAGGGAATTACATGAGCAGGTAACTGTGGAGTCTTCCCAGATGAACTCTGGAGTTTGGTCACTAATGCTTTCTTCTTTGTCCCTCCCAGCCAGGGCCGCTCCCTTGGCCTTCCCATGTGCCACTCATTGCTCCCTGTCCTGTAGGGGACATGTCCCTGCCCTAAAGCCATGGCTGGAGAGCTTGTGCTTCACCACTGAAGAAAGCCGGTGAGTCAAAGAGAGGATGGCAAGGGCCCAGCACTGTAACTACAGGCCCTTGCTCTCCCGAGTCTCTTTTTTTCATTTGAACTTTCTTACTGTGGTTCAGGTTAATTTTCACAGAGCAAATGAAATTTTCACTCAACAATGTACATTTTGTTTTAGGACACTGGTTGCAATCTTCATGCCACAACAACACTCTCCCCCGCTTCCTGCCTGGGTTCCCTGTTTCCGTTTCTCTTTTCCCACCCCTTCTTGCCTCCTGAGCTGTTGCTGGGCAGATGCTGTCCTTTTTGGCCGCACACAGTGTATGGTGCTGAGATGTACATACCTCCCTGGTGTTAGGTACTGCACGTTTGGCTGAAAACTGACGTCCAGAGTAGACTCAGTTCCAGGACTGAATTGTGTCTAATTTGTGGCTAGGATTGAACCCCATAGCCACAGCCTTGGGGGTGCCACAAGTCTCTGTTAAATTAGTTGGTCTTCCCCTCCCCATTTTTAGTGATTTTGAATGTTGCTTTACATTTTTTCCTCCCACTTTGTCCAGAATCTTCTGTTGTGATTCTGATAGCCGTGCTATAGTGACTGATAGGCATGTTGGTAGTGACCAAGTTTCAGAGTCTGTCCACTGTGACAATCATTCTTAAATTTCAGACTGCCACTCTAGGGATGTCTTCAGGGCTGGGGCAAGACCCATAATGTCCCCAAACCACACTCTGATACTCTGGTGGCCTCGGGGTAAGGAGTTGTACCACAAACTCAAAGGCAGAGGGTTCAAGTCTACCAGCTGCTCTACCAGGAAAAAGATGGACCATCTTCTCCTGTGTGATTTACAGACTCTGAAAACCTGTTGGAGAGTCAGCTGTGGGTCGTTTCTGACTGGGGGGTATGTGACAATAACATTTTACACCATACCTCACAAAGCTGGTTTAAACTGGGCAAACAGACATAATCTTCCCAGAAAAGTAAATCTCCCATATCACCCAACCTTGAGGGGTATCACAAAGTCTTTGACCTGTGGTTCATCCTAATAAACCCAAGCAACTAGGTATCCCTGAGGAATATAAACAAACAAACAACACCCAAAAAACCCAAACCCAGAGCACACACTAATTCTTATGGCTCTTTTCATGGGAAGAGCTCTTTCCTTACTTTAATTAGCAGATACAACTAGCAGGGGTCTGGAGTCTACCCACCCCATCTGTTACTTAGAGGCAAGATAGAAACTTGAACGGTGGTCTGTCCATCAAAAGCATACACTTATCACGTGGGATGGAAGGTGCCTTGGTGGTGGAAGTGGTTAAGTGCACAACCACTTCCTGAAAAGTTAAATTCTTTCCTCAAGGGTTCCGGGGTGGGGGTGGGGGAGAATGGGCGCTGGGCTCCAGTGAAGATTATGTACAGGAAACACGATGGGGTTGTCCTGCTCTGTTCTATGAATGACCGTGAACGGACTTGATGGCATTGAGGATGGGGGTGGTAGTTAAGTGCTGCAGACTGTGACATACAGTGACCCTGTGAACAGGGGTCTGAAGCTTACTCGGTTCTGCACCATCCCCACGCTCCCTGACACGCTCACACTCACGCCCATTGTCAGTCACTGGATTCATCTGAGGGTCCTCTTCTCTTTTAATGACGTCCTACTTTTCCCAAGGATTAGTGCCTCCCAGTATCATGCCCAAAGTTTATGAGATAAAGTTTCAACATCCTTTGAGTATGAAGAAGGGTAAAAGAGACATCAGAAATGATACGGTTGTTAAAAGATTATCTGATCCATTGGATTTATCATCAGAAGCCCAATGCCAAAAAAGATGACTTGAGTAAATAAAGGAAAGATCTGGAGTTTGGACACAGCACCTGAATTGTTACTGTTACGTGCAATTGAGTCACTTTTGACTCGTAGCGACCCTATGTACAGTGGCTTTGAACCTTGCTCTATCTTGAGCCAATTTCATTGTCTCTGACACATCTACTCCCATTATCTTAGTCACTGAGTCAATTCATCTCACCCAGGAGCTTCCTCTCTTGTGCTGTTCCTCTGCCCTTCCAAGCATAATGTCCCTTTCCAAGGACTAGTCTTTCCTGGAAACATGCCCAAAATATAGCAGACGGAATTTCAGAATCCTTGCTTTCAAGGAGCAGTCTGGTTCCACCCTCTCTAGGACGAACCTATTCTCTTAGTAGTCCGTGGTATATTTAATACTGTTCACCAGCACCACAATTCAAAGGCAACAATCCTTCTTTCATCATTCTTAGTCACTGTAAAACTCTGATGCATACCAAGTAATTGCAGAGATCATGGCTTCAATCAGGTGCACCTCAGTCTTCAGAATCATTACTTTTCAGTTCTCTGGAGATTTCTCTGACAGCAGACTTTCCCAGTGCAATCGGTCTTTTGATTTCCTGGCTGCTGGTACCAAGAGTGCTGGTTGTGGACCCAAGCAAGCTCAAGCTGTTAACAACCTCAGTCTCCTCACTATCTATTACAATGCTCCCACCCAGTGGTGAGAATCTTTGTCTTCTTATTGAGCTTCAATCCATATTGAAAGCTGCAGTCCTTTACCTTCTGCAGCAGATACCTCAGTTCTTCCTTGGTTTCAGCAAGCAAAGTTGTGTCATCTGCATAACATAAATTGTCAATGAATCTTCCTTTAATCCTGATGCCGCATTTCTCCTCATAGAGTCCACCTTCCTTGATAATTGGTTCTGCATATAGATTGAAAAGGTATGGCAA